GAAGATTTCATGTGCAGATGATGGTCGTGTAAGCCGGCGGAGGACCTTATGGTGAAAGTGATAGACAAAGGCCGACACTACTGCCAGCTGTCACTCCCAATCTGCTTATCGGGGGTAGACTGTTAGCTCCTGCGGACCAGAGAGCCCCGCCCCCTTCTCATGTCTTTGTAGTCCTCTTATCTCTCCCCGTCAGCTGACAGAACCCGCCTGATAGGTTCCGAAGAAGACATCTTGTTACCGGCTCTCAGTGGTGACAGTCACACTCCTCAGACGTATCCAGAATCTCCCAAACATTCCAGGAGGAGCCAAGAGTCACAAAAATGTCCATATACACTCTCTATGGTCTATATACACTCTCTATGGTCTATATACACCTCTTATGGTCTATATACAGTCTCTATGGTCTATATACACTCCCCATGGTCTATATATACTCTCTATGGTCTATATACACCTCTTATGGTCTATATACACTCTCCATGGTCCATATACACTCTCTATGGTCTATATACACCTCTTATGGTCTATATACACTCTCCATGGTCTATATATACTCTCTATGGTCTATATACACTCTCTATGGTCTATATATACTCTCCATGGTCTATATACACCACTTATGGTCTATATACACTCTCTATGGTCTATATATACTCTCCATGGTCTATATACACCACTTATGGTCTATATACACTCTCTATGGTCTATAGACACTCCCCATGGTCCATATACACTCTCTATGGTCTATATACAGTCTCTATGGTCCATATACACTCTCTATGGTCTATATATACTCTCTATGGTCTATATACACTCTCCATGGTCTATATATACTCTCTATGGTCTATATACAGTCTCTATGGTCTATATACACTCTCTATGGTCTATATACAGTCTTTATGGTCTATATACACTCTCCATGGTCTATATATACTCTCTATGGTCTATATACACTCTCTATGGTCTATATACAGTCTTTATGGTCTATATACACTCTCCATGGTCTATATATACTCTCTATGGTCTATATACACTCTCTATGGTCTATATACACTCTCTATGGTCTATATACACTCTCTATGGTCTATATACAGTCTCTATGGTCCATATACACTCTCTATGGTCTATATACAGTCTCTATGGTCCATATACACTCTCCATGGTCTATATACACTCTTCATGGTCTATATACACTCTCTATGGTCTATATACAGTCTCCATGGTCTATATACAGTCTCTATGGTCTATATACACTCTCTATGGTCCATATACACTCTCTATGGTCTATATACACTCTATATGGTCTATATACACTCTCTATTGTCTATATACAGTCTCTATGGTCCATATACACTCTCTATGGTCTATATATACTCTCTATGGTCTATATACACTCTCCATGGTCTATATATACTCTCAGATTGCCATTGGCCATTGCCGGGGGGCCTCCCTTGAGGGTTGCAGCTTATGCTGATGATGTCTCTGTCTTTATTTCTGGCACATGCGTCTCTCGGGACACCACGTTTCCTATGTGGGAGCAGTGTGGTGGAGAGAGTCCATAGATAAAGTGGTGGCACTCGTGCTCGTCCATAGGAGAAGTGGAGGGTCTACGGAGCAGTGGGGTAAATAAAGTACGTTGTACTTGCAGGGGGGGTGACCATTGAAGTGAACCAGTTGCTTTGAATGGGAACACCACAGGTTGACTTCATCATTCATATATATTAGTTGCCGCTGTCAATGACGGTGATAAGTTCAATCATAGAGCGCCACCTAGTGGTCACGTTACAATTTGCAGTTAATACACTATATTGGCAAAAGTATTGGGCTCCGGCCTTTACACGCACATGAAATCTAATGGCCCCCCAGTCTTAGTCCGTAGGGTTCAGCATTGGGTTGGCTCCGCCCTTTGCCGCTATAACAGCCCCGCCTCTTCTGGGAAGGCGTCCACAAGGTTTTGGAGTGCGTCTATGGGAATGTTGGACCATTTGTGAGTTCAGGTACTGATGTTGGGGGAGGGGCTCGCAGTCTCCGCCTCTAATTCATCCCAAAGGTGTTCTATGGGGTTGAGGTCAGGACTCTGTGCGGCCAGTCACGTTCCTCCACCCCAAACTCCCCCCTCCATGTCTTTATGGACCTTGCTTTGTGCACTGGTGCATTGGGGGAGGGGCCAATACTTTTGGCAATATAGGGTATTAGTCCCTGGTCAATGGCGGTGATCAGTTCAGAAGCTGCCATGAGAAGTGCTATCATAGAGCGCCACCTGGTGGTCACATTGCAATTTGCAGTTGAGCATCACAT